ACGGAGCGCCGTGAAAGGGAAAAAAGTCATGAAATCTCGGAGCCCCTTCTTACCTCCTTTCTGAGGGATCTGCTGGGCGCGGGTCTGGAGGGGGTGGGTGCGAGGGACTCTTCGGCGGGGGTCGCCGCGAAGCCGGGAGCGGCAGAGACAGTTGAAGCAACGGGATCGCCGAGTTCGGCCGGGCCGTGCGCTCCCAGCGGCGTCCTTCTGCCCAGGCCGGCGCGGTGCTGCTGGAACTGCTGGTAACGGCTCGGCAGGAGCCCTGCGGGGCCCGGCCGGATCTTGCCCTTCCTCCGCCTCACTCTCTTCAGCGCGGGCCGCGCGCTGCCCCCCGGACCTGCCAGGCAGCAGCTGGGCTGGTTCTCACAGTTGTTGTCCCCTCGCCTGAGGTGCTGGAGGAGCGTCGAGGGCAGCCGCCGGGGATCTTCGGTGCCCGCCGAGATTCGAGTCAGGAAGGGCGGCGGCGCCGTGGTGGTGACCATGGTGGGATGTGGGTACCCAGAGCTGTAAAGGGAAGAAGGGGTCGAGCCCCGGCAGGGATGAGCGGCTCGGGTCGCTAGGGACTGTTTACCCGGGCTTTATAGGCTCAGATGGTGGTACGGTCGGATCGGCTGCTAGGAGAACATGGCGGGGGAGTGAGAGGAGCAGCCAGCAGCGCCCTGTGTTGTTACACGGGGTGGGCACGCCCCCTTCCGCCCTCCCGCCAATCGCCGTGCGAGAACGGAGAGAGCGGCGTGCCTCTCCGCAGGGCACCACCAATCCCAGCGAACCGGTGGCCGCTCTGGCCCCACCCTGACCAATCGGAAGCGACACAAACACTTGTGGCTCCGCCCGCTTCCGCAGGCCGCCCAATCCGGGCAGACACAAACAACGGGCACGCCCCAGTCTCCGAGTCACGGGCTCGAAATGCGAAGCGAGCGGAGGGACGAGAGCTTCCCCCGTTGAGCACCACCGGCCAATCTCGCGCAGCGCAAGCGGCATCGGCCGCGCCCCCTCGCGCCGCTCAGCCAATCGGAGGAGACGTAAACAGGCGGCGAAGCGCCCCCCTCGGAGGTGGAGGCGCGTACCCGGCCGGGCCTGCTATGGAGGAGCCGGCGTCGCGGCCTGCTGCCGCTGCCGCTCCTCCAGCCGAGGAGGGAGCGAGCCGGGACGACCGCAGCTTGGAGGCCTTGAGCCTGGCCGCCGGCGGTGGAGCGGCGGCAGGACGTTCGCCGCCGGAGGGGCGGCAGCTGCCGGAGGGGCGGCGGGCTACTCTGGCGAGCGCCTTGGAGCTGGAGGGAACGGTGCTGCGCGAGGGGCAGCTCACGCAGTTCGTGGCCAACAACCTGGAGCGGCGGATCCGGCTGAGCGGCGTGCCGCGGGGCGAGCCGGCGGCGGCGGCCGGCGGCAGCTCCATCCCCGCCATCGATCCCGGGGCGCTGCAGGACGTGGTGGCGCTTGCCGGGCAGGTGGCGGCGCAGGTGGACGAGCTGCTGCGCAACGTGCACTGCGGGCTGCAGGCGCTGACGGCGCTCAGCGTCGGCTGCATCCAGACCTACCGCGACGGTGTGGAGAGCCTGGGCGAGGCGGCCGACCTCAGCATCCGCGCCATGTACGCCCTGGTGGCGCGTTGCGAGGAGCTGGACCGCGCCATGCAGCCCGTGCCCGCCCTGGCCAAGCGCATCCGCGACATGAAGGGCACGCTGGAGCGCCTCGAGGGGCTGTGCAAGTAGCTCTCGGCGCCAAATGGCGGCCCGCGCGTCCCTCGGCGCCGCGGAGCTGTACGCGGGCCGGGCCGGGCTGGGCGGCCCAAGCTGCGGTCGGAGGGAGAGCGCTGAGCTGAAGCGCGGCACATCGCTCGCGGCGCTTCCCGGCTTAACTCCATTAAAGAATTTGGACTCCTCACGCCTTACGCTTTCTATTTATTGAGGGCTAGGAAAACTGACCGAGCTCCATTAAAAGCGACCGTTGGTGATTCTGCCTGACCAACTTAGAAGTCGTTGTGAATAGCTTTTTGATGCTTACAGGCATACGTGCTGCTTTGCAGCTGACTTGGTGCCTGATAGGTGGAACTGTCTCTTACTGCTAGCTTTGTGTCGCAGCACACAACTATAAGTGATGGAAATGGGAGAATTCAAGTATGTAGCCAAACACCAAATCCATGGAGCAGAACTGAGATTCAGCTAAGAAAAGCCAAATTGCAAAGTTCTAAATAAAGGCCTTCAGGTAATACATGCTTTGCGTCTGTTAGTGTCTGCGGTTTTCACAGCATGGAAGTTCAAATGGTATCACTGTGAAATGTCTCTTTAATTGGAATCACAGAATTGTAGGGGCTGGGGGAGACCTCTGGAGGTCATTGCATCCAACCCCCTACTAAAGCAGGTTTCCTACAGCAGATCGCATGAGAAGATGTCCAGGTGGGTCTTGAATATCTGTGGAGTAGGGGACCCCACCACCTCTCTGGGCAGCCTGTTCCTGTGCTCCTTCACCCTCACAGTAAGGGAAGTTTTTCCTCAAGTTCAGATGGAACTTCATACGTTCCAATTTGGGCCCACTGCCCCTTGTCCTGTCTCTGCACACCACTGAAAAATGATGAGAAATACAATTACATCACTGTATTACACAAGTGTATGATTGACCTAAGTCCTTTAGTAGAATTTGTGCACTCAAAGCTTTTGTTCATGCATTGCTGTGTGCAGAAGTTAATTTGTTGTGCTGCCAGTATTTTCACTGAGGCCTAAGAGAAGTTCTCTGCTGGCTGTGGTTCTGATGCAGGTAGACTTCAGCAGTCCGTTTAGGTTCGGATGTCCTTGGAACAAGATTCAAGATTTCATATAGAAATGATCACTGCATTTTGTAGTTTGTATAGTGGTGTCGCTGGTGTGAGCAGTGTCCTCTAAAGGTCTTGGGGGAAAGGTATCCAGAAATACCACGAGTCCTGTACCTAAGTTTGTAGTGGTAAGGTTTGTAGTGGGTACAGCTCTCACCCCACTGCAAGCTCATCCAAAACACTGATGATACACAGTGCTTCTAAATATGCACAATACTGAATTGTAACAAAACAACGAGCTTTTTTCACTGCCCTGGTTTGCAGTCCGTGACCAACTTTGTGCCTCTCAGTGTGGCCTCCCCCTTGGCACAGGGAATGTGTTTTGTATGCAGCCTTCCTGCCTGCACAGTGGGAGGATGCTGGAAGTGGGCCAGGCCCTGCTCACTCTGTGATGTCTGCTAGGGAGTAGTTGTGGCTCCAGAAAGAGACTTATCAGTTAAAGAGTAGAGGTTAGTTGGGAGAGAAAGGAGAATGTGGGGCCTAGCAGATATCAGGTCACATCACACCAGAGGAACAGCAGTAATCTGGATAGTTTTGGGGTGTTATTCTTGGGAAAGTTTGTATTGTTTATCATGAGGTGCAGTCATTTTGTTGTGTTTTTTGTTTGTTTGTTTTTGTATATCAGGATTTAAGACCAAATTTTGATCTTGTTCTACAAGTATTGATGAGAGGTACCTGACTTGTTTGTATAGTCACATGTATAGCTACATTCTGTTCATTCAAATGTTAAGCTTTTAAAGTAAACACATTTTTGTATACTATTGGTTTTCAATAGCTTTTCATTTAAAGTCATTTATGTTAAATGCTAATTCTCTGCTGAAGTTGTTATGTCTGTGAAATAAAATAATTACTTTTATGTTTGAAATTGTTACTGATTAGTTGTTGTTGAAGCGTTTCACATCTTAATTATTCCTTTTCTTATTTGGTAAAATAATTTGAAGCTAATTTAAACTCCGTTCTTGTACCTGCATGGAGACCCATTACTGTGATTGCAGGGCCAGTTTCAGTCTGGGTCCCCAGGCAGTAATTTCTAACACGATGTCATTCATGGGATGAAAAAGAGCTGACTAGTGAATCACAGCCATGAAGGCAGTGGTAATTAGCCTGCATATTTTGCTTCTTTCATGTCAGTGTGAAGGCTTCAACTTGTGCAAGCATCAGACTCAGCTGAGCAAAGTGGTTCTCATTCCCAGGTGCCTGTGTTATCCATGCACCACACATTCACTGTCTCTGTGGCAAGCGTGGCTAAATGAAACCAGCGTGTTCTGTGCCACCACAGTGAGAACCAAGGCATTTGTTCTGAGCCATATGAGTCAGAACTGGGATGTTAATGCAGAGCTGCTGTGGTTTGCAGCCCTCCTCTCAATCCTGGCTTCCTTTTCTGCAGAACTGTGTCACTTGGCAGCATTCATATCAGTGCTGCTCTGATGCCAGCCCTGCCCTTGAAATCATATTTGGACTGCTCGTGAGCTACGTGCAGCTTGGAAGCCATCAGTGAACCTGATGGTGCTGCAGCTGGAGATTGCTACAGTGCCTTTTTGATCCTAGGCCAGGCTTTCGTGTGCCTCTTCTGTGTTAATCCTGGTGCTCTCCAGCTTTTGGATGTTGAGCTTAGCTTTCAGGTTATTCGAGCCTTTTTTCTTAACCTGTCACTGAGCAGATAGAGTCATGTTTGGATTTACCAAGATTTAACACACATTTGCATATATTTTCTTGCTTAATCAAGTCAGCTTTACAGTTGACCTTACGTTCCTTATCAGCTGCCAAATGAACTGCTGTTCTGGCAAGATGGACAAGGTCAGAGAAGAAAAGCAACAAAATGACGTGCCAAACACTGAGCAAAGCCAGGTACAGAATTGGCTATTCTAGAATTTTCTTCCCTGTTCCGATAACTGCCACTGACTCCACCAGAAATTAGGTTAGTTTGTTAATTTCTTTTCATTCAGGACAACTCAGAGTTGACTAAGGAAATCCTTTTTTTTTTTTTTCTTCCTAAGAAAGGTGTGCTTGTTTCTCCTTTATTCACATCTTTTTGTTCTTTCATTGTGATTCTTGACTGATCCCAAATTCATGCTTTTCAGAGAAGTTTTACCAGATAAAGCCTCACTACATCACAACCCCCCAGCTCCTCTGAAGCAGAAATGAATATCACAGACATTTCACTTTTGAGGCTGATTTCCAACGTTACTTAATTGTACCATGTGTTCAGTAAGTAAATACATGTAAATATTTTGTGTATCTTGCTGCCAACTGTATACTGAAGTACAAAGTACTTTTTCCAGCCCTAAAGTCTTCTGCCTGGATTTTTTTGATTGACAGTTGTGCTTACTCTTATTCCTGACTGAGTTACAAAGCTGGTGAGGGGTGTGGAGCACAGGGCTTATGAGGAGCAGTGGAAGGAGCTGGGATTGTTCAGCCTGGAGAAGAGGAGGCCCAGGGGAGACCTCATTGCTCTCTATAGCTGCCTTAAGGGAGGTTGTAGGGAGCTGGGGGTCGGCCTCTTCTCTCATGTAACTGGTGGTAGAACTAGAGGGAATGGCTTCAAGCTGCTCCAGGGGAGATTTAGGCTGGACATCAGGAAATACTACTTTTCTGAAAGAGTGGTCAGGCACTGGAATGGGCTACCCAGGGAGGTGGTGGAGTCCCCGACCCTGGAGGTGTGCAAGGAACATTTGGACATTGTGTTGAGAGATATGGTTTAGTGAGAACTACTGGTGATAAGTAGATGGTTGGACTGGGTGATCTTGTAGGTCTTTTCCAACCTTGGTGTTTCTGTGATTCTGTGATTCTGTGATTCTGTATGTGGAACTGAAATTGGGAGCAGCATAGTAGTTAAATTGAAGAAAATATGTCTCAGTATTAAAGACGCATCTATTTTGAAATGATTTTGGATAGCGTGGCTGTGCTACCAGAAGACAGAAAAAATAATTTTAATGCTTAAAAATTATCAACATTTTTACAGAAGGGTCCTAGATTAGCTATTGTGGCAAACTGTGTTATCTGAAACTGTGAAAACAAGTCTTCAATACAGAGGCTTTTGCAATAGGCGTTATCGATCGTAAGGCAAGACTTACTGTCAGACTGCGCAGTATGTCATCTTGGTCAACATTGGCATGTTCATCGTGTTCCTGCCACAGCTTACTTTTAATGTTAGGAAATTGCTTTGAGAGACATTCCTACAGTCTGTGCAGAGCCAGGGGCTGAACTTGTTGATCTTTGCGGGTCCCTTCTGACTTGGTACGTTCTGTGAGTCTATGAAAAAGAATCAAATTAGAATGATTTCTGTGAAGATTGTCCCTACTTCTGTCCCAACCCTCACCTCTTCCAGGAAAGATATCATCAATTATCCTTTCTGCAATGTATGTAAAAGCACACATGAGAGGGAGTTTCTTTCCATTTCTCCTTTAGAAAGCTAAGACTGTTATTGCATCAGCTACAGGAACTGAAACTCACTGGGTTTCGCATTGCTGCTCCAGCTTGGTGGCTGATGAAAACTATCAAGATCATTGCTCTGTGTTGTTCAAAGCTCAAGTAGCAGAAGTGGGCCTGGCTCTGGGCTTCCACCTTGGAAGTTAGAATCCTCCTGCCCCCTGCCATGACAGTGATAGAATTATGCCCTTACCTGATAACAGCAAGAATGGTAAAGAATCAACATCTCACACCTTCCTGCAGTTGTTTCTCTCCTACTGTTTACACACACTAGAAGCAATGAAAAAACAAACAAACAAAAGCTAACAACAAAAACCAAGCACAATCCCCTGACCTAAAGGTTGATAACTGATCTTCTTTCCCTGTCTGTGAGGATATCACTAGGTTGGCAACTTCATAAAGAACCGTAGTTTTGGCTACCAAGGATAATGCATGAGAGCTGGTTCTCTGCAGTTGTGTTAAATCCTGGTGAGGAAAGTGTAAAGAAAATAAAATCCTACATTTTTAGTTTAATATTGATAAGGTTGGGTGTATGACAGTCTGTGCAACACTTTCATAACTGCTATCTGTTTTTTGCTAGCAGGGTTCTGCTGTCGTGCACACTGGCTCAGAATGCATCAATGCTAATTAACTGGGAAAGCAGAAAAGCAGTATTGAGACAATCCCAAAATTTTGTTCAACAATTTCTTCTTTAAGTAGAAGAAAAGGCCATGTCTTTTCCTTATTTTCTTGATGGACAATACTGGAAAAGTTCCCATCATTAAACTTGCTTATAATGCAAACAGCCGTGCCCAGTGAGTTAGGAAATACATTGTTAAGGAAAGCTTCCTTGTCTTCCTTGTCTGGAAATACATATAAGCCCAGGAGAAAAAAAATCCACAAAGTTGTCAGATAATTATTTATAACTTTGCAGTGATCTAATAATAATGTCTGGTTTGTCACAGGGGTTGTTGGACTGTACACTGTAGCAGAAAATAAAAAAGATCCGAAGTTGAAGCCTTACATATTTAATAAATGACTTAGCCTCATACCATTAGTGAAGCTTCTGGCCAGATTCACTGTAATGAGATTTTTCTTGTCTGAATTTGAACCGCTGCCATCAAGGAAATGCTTACTTGAAAATAAGCTCCTTTAAAGTCAAAGTATCATCTGACTTTGTTCCTCTTTCTGTTTTCACCGCCTAGACAATTTGTTTACTTGCTGGATTTTTTTTTCAGGTTGGGACTTTCCAGTGACGTCTCCTCAGCTGGAAAGAAAGCAGAGTTCTTCACTGCTGAACAAAATTGGGATTTTCCATTTTCCCAGCCTCTTCCCCTATGCAATTTACAGTTGATGATAGGGATCTAGTTTGGTTTTATTTCCTTCTTCAGAGAAAGGGATCTGCAACTACAAGCCTTTCATCTCTCCTGCTCCAGTGTCATCAGCTTTCGAGAAAGTTTTTTGAAACTTATTATGGTTTCCACTTTCTTTACCATTTTCCACAGCACACCAGTTGTTTATCATTTCCCCTGAAAAATTCTTGCTTTGGGCCTTATTAGTTCTCGGCGTTAATATTTCATCCCATTCATCTTCTGGCTTCAGCTGTGTAGCTTACTACTTTAGTCTTGCTATCATACAACATGGTAACAACCTTCTTTCTTATTCTTCACTTATGTTCTCTTTCAGCTACCCTTGTTGTCTTTCGTTCACTTTCTGCCTTAAGTTTACAGCATTCATCTGCACATATAGGCATAGGCTAGCTTCTGCTGCCTACCTGATATGCTGCCTTTTGACATCATTTGTTCCTTTGTTCTTGGCAATGTCTCACTAAGTTCCTTCTTACCTTCTTTTGCTGTTACTTCCTTGCTCTGCTTTCTGCAGTGCTCCTTGTATGTAGAATGATATTTGCTCTTGAGAACTGGATTATAGAATACCGAAGGCCGTGTGGCACGGTGAAGTGATGCAGTATTTATGAAACACATTCAACTCCCGAAAGCAAACTGTGTTGTTTTTGCTTTTAACCATAGAAAGATTAAGTAAATACTAGAGTAAGAGTACTGCTCGATGGAATGCTGGTCTCCCTGTCTTTTTTTTTTTTTTTTGGCGCGTACATATTTAGGGCTTTCACTGATATTAATAAGAGCACTATATATTTGTGTGGAAGTTGAGAGACTTAAGATGTGTTACATCTATTAATTGCAGCAAACAAATGGGCAGTGGTAAAAAAGAACGGGCTTGCATATTATGAATACAGGATATGCCAAGTCAGAACCTGACATCTGTTCACCGAGATTCAACTCATACGTGCTTTAGTGAAACAAATAAACTTCTCTAGCACAAGGCTGTTCTTCCCTTATTGTGGTGATCCATGGTCAGCTGTCAAATGCTGTCAAATTCATAAATTGGACTAATTCTCAGTAAGTGTTAGAATGTCTGTTTTAAAACAAACAAAATGTTGAGCTCTACTGAGCTGAATAGCTCATGTAAAAAGTCATGCTTAGGGTGCAAAAATTCAAGTTTTACTAATGCTTCTTTAGGCCATTCTTCATACGTACAATCTTTTTTGTTAAAATACGTATCACCAACAATTACAAAAACTTCAGTCCAATTGAAAGCCAGGGTCTGTCTCTTACACTCTGACCGAACCTTAAGTGAGGTAACTGATTTGGACGTTGTGTAAAATGGGAGCCATGGAACATATTTCCTGTATGTGTTAATATGAACCAGAGAAATTGTGTAACGTGTTGATGACTACTGGGATTTACACAGAGCTGTAGAAACTTCAGGTTGCAGTGTTCATTCATCATCATTCGTGGTTGTGAAATCAAATGTACTTAGTGTCTGCCCTTGACTATTTATGAGCCATGTTTTGAGATAGAGGCTAATGTTCTGTCTCAGAACTAGACCTTGTTAGCAGACAAAACAACCGCTGGGACAAAACTGCACGTTTCACTACAAATGTATGAGCCAGTCTGTTACAAATATCTTTCTGCTAGTGATTTGCTTAACAGTTGGGGAACAAAAGTTTCCTGGTCCAACACAGGTGATCAACTTCTTGTTACTGAGTGTATCCTCAGTGGCACGACTTGTTACCTCTGCCTGCTAGGTAGCCTATCTTTAACAAAATGTAAAATGGCAGCTGGCTGATGCAAACATGAGTAAGTCTTACCAAAAGGCTTATCTGTTTCATCTTTTCACTTAGGATTTTTCCTTATGTTCCTGTTTCATTTCTGTCTGGTTCTCCTTTCTTCTCAGCCACGGCTGAGCCCTAGGCAGCACTCCTGTTTTAAACTACCTCTAACAAAGTAAATCAACAAATAGACTTTGTGCACACATTATGTTGGCACAGCTGACGCGGCAGAGGCCTGCAATCTTTTGGAGACCTGTTCCACACTTGACACCGGTGAATTGTCAGCGCAGGAGAGCAGCACTGCGGTGAGTCAGTGCTCATGTGGTGTGCCCCTGGGGCAGAAAAACACCACAGATGCCATGGGGATCTGCAGGGCAGCTCCAGGTTGCTTCATTAGGAGAACCGAGAAGAAGAAGTAGGTCAGTGAGGTGTGGGAGTGCCTGGCTGCTCCTCAGTCTGCCAGCTCAGGCCTGTGGGACTGGCACTACTTCCTCAGCGTCAGGAATTACTGTAGCACTGGAGTGATTAATACCCTCAGAACTGGATACGTATTTATCATGTGTTTGGATGCCATAGTTCATATAGAAGAGAACACTATTTCATGCTAAAAAGATGTGGGCTTTGTAGCCCACAGCCCCTAGGAAAGAGAAAGCAAGTCCAATTCTTGTGGTTTTATCATCCATAGGTAACAAAATTAAACAAAAAAGACTGTTATGGTGTCAGTGGGTGTCAGGTGCTAAAGAACATGGCTGGATGGGGAACAACGGCAGATGTGACCATAATTCACTGACTGATTATCCCACATTTAACTCTTGGTTTCCTCCATATCAGAATTCTTAGAAGATATAGCAATAAAATTTCTTTGCGGTTATTCTATTAAAGTATGAGTAAAGTTTGTTCCAAGAATTTTTATACATTAGAGTAATGATTTCATTTTTGTACTTCTGTTAGTTCTGCTTCATGCATTAAAAGGACCCAAGATTCCTTAGGATGCTTGGTAGCTCACAAAGCTGAGATAAAGGGAGACCATGCTTTTGTCCAGCCCCGAGATATAACGAAAAGAGGAGCTTGACCCAACGGCACCCAGCAGTGAGGGAGGGAGGTCTGCTCACTCTGAGCTCCGTCAGCTCCTGGCTTTGTTGACCCTGTGAGCACAGACCACACTCAGCACAAGAGGGTCAAAGGGGTGTGTGAGCCCGATGTTCACTGCAGAGTTCAGCAAAGTGCCCAGGAAGGGCTTGCAGCAACTCATGTCCCGCTGACCCATGGCCTGCAGAGCTGTGCTGCTCAGCCTGGAGCTACATTACTCCTGAAAAGAAACCTTTAACTAGGAGCATTTAGAACTAATGCTTTAGGTTTGAATGATGTACAGTTTGATACATAAAAACTCCTTTCTGTCCAGCTGGAACTTCAGCTGCCAAGCTGGTAAAGATTACCTAGCAACAGCTGCCCTTTTTGACACTGCTATAAACTGCAGTGTAGGGAAGAATGGAGAATAATTAAAAGGGTTGTGATTCAGGACAAAATGCCTTGTCTTTTCATTCTGACCATTCCCTTTGTGATAAGCAAAATTCACATCTAAGATACAAACAATTGAAACAGGCTTCTCAGTTTAAATTAGCATACCCTTATGTACAATCAGGATTATGTCCATATTGTTCATATTCTTTTGAGTCCCTCTATCTCTGTGTCATGGTTCAATAATCCATTAATTATGTGTTTTAGTTCTGCTCATGACTCTCCACTGTTGTGTACAAATATTTTCTGACACATTTTTTTTAATTCTCCATGTTAGAGAATACAGATAGGCAGGTTTTGATTCACAATCCACTGAAACTCATAGAAGTCTTCAGAAAGCTTAGAATGTGCTCCACAGTGAGTCTCTGAAAAAAAATCATCATCCAATTATAGCAAAAAATAAAATACTGAACTCATTTCAGCACATCTAACTCTGCGTGTGGAAGGATACGTGGAGATTTTTCTCCCCAAAAGGGATTTTTGAAGAACAGTTTCTGAACAGCAGAAGTAGATAAGGGAATTCACAAAATGACTTTTCACAGAACAGTTAAGATTTCATAGGAAAAGCCTACACCCTTTCAGTGTGTAAAGACTACTTAGCCAAACTCCAAAACTTCCTACTGCTGGAACACAGTGTGAACCTCAAAGGCCAGGAAACTCATCTCAGGAAAGAGCAGTCATCTTTACACCTCCTTCCCTTTCTCTTTGTAATTCCCTTAAAGTCCATGTGGAGAAAGACAGCTTTATACTCATTCCAAGTGAAGGTTTGAGTATGAAGACAGTAAGCTTATTTGTGTTCCTCTTCACATAACTACAGAAGGCAAAATCAGCAGTAGAAAGAAATGGTGTTGGCTTTATGTGACTTTGTGACCAGCAATAGACCTTGGTTGTCACACTGCCTGAGGAAAAGCCCATTCTGCAATGTCTGCCCCAGGTTGTTACTGTGTGATGTAGCCTAAAGTGGAGAGAAAGTGAGAAAGAATACTTCTAGGGAATTCCAGACATGTGCCTAATGAAAACAAATTTCTGTTTCTTTCTCTAAGGATTGCTTGGAAGAGGCAGATTTACAGCTTATATAATGTCATTGTTTAAATGACACTTGCCAACTTATTCCTAAGGTTTGCAAGATCAGTGATACTGCAGACACACGTGCTAAGATATTCCTCTTGCTCTGTTATTGGTTTTGAGGGAAGCTTTTGCATGAAAGAGTAGGATGTGTTCTTGTAAAACTTGTTCCACAATGAATACAGGCAGAAAGCAAAACTAACAAGGACAATGTTTGAGCATCTTATTTTCTATATATAATTCCACATATATACTTATATGTAAGTTGTATGCAATTAAAAAAAAAAAAAAGTTTTTTAAAAAAAGCCATTATGGCTGCCAGGCTGATCACTTTGCCTCGTTATGTATTCTTTTCCTTTGCCTTTAACCGGTTCCTTCAGGCATTTTTAGGACTGAAACACCTCAAGACAGAGACTATGGTTTTCATTTATATTTGTACAGTATACTGTATACTTTGAATCTTACAGACACATCAATAAAAATAAGTCTGTCTGTATTTTCTCATCTACTGTATTATATAGCTCATATGCGTGTTATTCTTCACAGGCTTTATAAACACATATAACCATCTTATATATCCATAGGCTCAAACTTAAGATGCAGAAAGTCAGAGAATGTCTGTGGATAATAACCTTTACTTTGTATGACTGATCACATGAGAAAAATATTTCTACCTGTACAGCAACCCAGAACTCAATCATCACGTACACAGGTTTACGGCATAAATGCTGAGCCCCTCTGGCTATTTCAGGCAGTAAAGAAGTGATCACACCCAGTAGCAACAGACTCTCTGCTCTGCTTCCCACATGGTCCAAGGCCTCAGTTACGCAGTGTGGGGAAGTCTCTGTACTCTCAGGACGTGCTGGAGACACAACAGCACACCAACGTGGTTAAAAGCTGTTGGTCTACTTCATTGTTAAGCACTGTTCTATTTATGCATGTTAACAAAGCATTCTACAAAACACTCTTCAACTGTTCGCACAGGCGCTTATCCAGTCAGAGCCATGAGATGTCCTTTCTTCTTCTAAAGGTGTCCTCGGTTCGCATGATGCTTATGTTGCTCCACAGCTGCTGCTTTAACAGTTTTTCCAGCTGCTGCTCTGAACACTTTTTCTTGTATTCCCACAATTCCCCCTTTTTTGTTTATTCGCAGAACTACTACCATACTATAACACAGTAACACTAAAG